ATTTTTCGTCTTTCCATTTTTAGATTTTTTTATTTTTCTGTTCGTCAGTTTTTAGACTTTGCAATTTTTTTGCATTTTTCGATTAAATTTTACTTTCCGATTTTTTTGATTTTTGAATTCTCGATTTTACGTTTTTAATTCTTCGATTTCCGATTTTTCAATTTTCCGGTTTTTTTATTATTCTATTCTCGATTTTTCGATTTTCCATTAATCATAAAATTTTTCGATTTTTCGGTTGCAGCTTTTAGATTTCAATTTTGTGACTTTCCGATTTCCCACTTTTCGATTTTTTGATTTTTCTTCGATCGTCGTTTTTTCGATTTTTTGATTTTTTAATTTTTAGGCCTTGCAATTTTTTTACTTTTCGCTTTTTCGAGTATTTGTTTCATCGAATTTTCGAGTTTTCGATTTTCGATTTTTCGGTTTTTCCATTTTCCGATTTTCGATTTTTCGATTTTCCATGTTTTGATATTTTTCGATTTTTTTTTTGTTTTTCGATTGTTCTGTTCGTCAGTTTTGAGACTTTGCAATTTTTACTTTTCCACTTTTCTATTATTTTAGTTTCGGATTATTCGATTTTTGAATTTTCGTTTTTTTTTTAATTTGTCGATTCTCGATATTCCGATTTTCGATTTTTCGATTTTCCAATCTTCGATTTTTCAATTTCCAGTTTTCGATTTTCCACTTTTTGATTTTACGATTTTTGGATTTTTCTGTTCGTCAGTTTTTAGGCTTTGCAATTTGTTTACTTTTCGATTTTTCGATTATTTTACTTTCCTGATTTTACGATTTTTCGATTTGCGATTTTTCGATTTTCGTTTTTCCGCTTTTGTGGTTTTTCGATTTTTCTGTTTGTTTCAGTTTTTATGGTTCTGCAATTTGCAGCTTTTGGATTTCAATTTCGTTACTTTCCGATTTTCCACTTTTCGATTTTTTGATTTTTTTCGATCGTCGTTTTTTCGATTTTCATTTTTTCGATTTTTTGATTTTTCAATTTTTAGGCCTTGCATTTTTTTTACTTTTCGCTTTTTCGAGTATTTGTTTCATCAAATTTTCGATTTTTCGGTTTTTCAATTTTCCGATTTTAGATTTTTCGATTTTGGATGTTTAGATGTTTCTCAATTTTGTTTTTTATTTTTCGATTGTTCTGTTTGTCGGTTTTGAGACTTTGCAATTTTTCCTTTTCCACTTTTCTATTATTTTAGTTTCGGATTATTCGATTTTTGAATTTTAGTTTTTTTTTTCATTTTTCGACTTCCAATTTTTTAATTTTTCGATTTTTCGGTTTTTTAATTTGTCGATTCTGGATATTCCGATTTTCGATTTTTCGATTTTCCAATCTTCGATTTTTCAATTTCCAGTTTTCGATTTTCCACTTTTTGATTTTACGATTTTTCGATTTTTCTGTTCGTCGGTTTTTAGGCTTTGCCATTTTTTTACTTTTCGATTTTTCGATTATTTTACTTTCCAGTTTTTTGATTTTTGAATTGTCGACTGAGTTTTCAGTATTATGAATTTTCGAATTTTCGGTTTTCCTATTTTTCGATTTTTAATTTTTCCATTTTTCGGTTTTTCAATCTTGCAAATTTTCGATTTTTCAGATTTGTGAATTTCCAGTTTTTCGATCGACCTACGTATTAGATTAACTGAAATTTCGGTTTTCGGTTTTTCCATTTTTAGATTTTTGATTTTCCAGTTTTGTATTTTCAGATTTTCTATTGTTCGCATATCTGATTTATCAAATTTTCGACTTTTCGATTGTTCAGTTTTCCATTTTTCAGCTTTTAGACTTCAATTTTTTTACTTTTCGATTTTCCAAATTTTCGAGTTTCAATTTTCAGATTTTTGATTTTTCGATTTTCTGTTTAAATGTTTGAATTTTTCGGTTTTGATTTTTTGAATTTTCCATTTTTCGGTTTTTTTATTTTTCGACATTCGATTTTTCAATTTTCGAGTATTCGATTTTCCATTTTCTGATTTTACGATTTTTCGATTTGCGATTTTTCGATTTTCGTTTTTCCGATCTTGTGGTTTTTCGATTTTTCTGTTTGTTTCAGTTTTTATGGTTCTGCGATTTGTTTTATTTTTCCAGTTTTCGATTATTTTACTTTCCGATAGTTTGATTTTTGAATTTTTGGTTTTTTCATTTTTCGATTTGGGATTTTTCAATTTTTCGGTTTTTTAATTTTTCGAGTCTCGATATTTCGATTTTTCAGATTTATGAATTTGTGTCCGTTTTTTCGATTTTTAGAATATTGATTAATCGAATTTTCGATTTTTGAGCATTCCGATTTTTCCATTTTTAGATATTTTTCGATTTTTTTTTAATTTTTCGATTTTTCTGTTCGTCAGTTTTAGACTTTGCAATTTTTACTTTTCCACTTTTCTATTATTTTAGTTTCGGATTATTGGATTTTTGAATTTTCGTTTTTTTTCATTTTTCGATTTCCGATTTTTTAATTTTTCGATTTTTCGGTTTTTTAATTTGTCGATTCTCAATATTTCGATTTTCCAATCTCCGATTTTTCAATTTCCAGTTTTCGATTTTCCACTTTATGATTTTACGAGTTTTCGATTTTTCTGTTCGTCACTTTTAGGCTTTGAAATTTGTTTACTTTTCGATTTTTGAATTGTCGACTTTTAGAGTTTTCAGTATTATGAATTTTCGAATTTTCTGTTTTCCTATTTTTCGATTTTTGACTTTTCCATTTTTCGGTTTTTTGATTTTTCAATTTTCGGTTTTTCAACTTGCAAATTTCCGATTTTTCAGATTTATGAATTTCCGGTTTTTCGATCGACCTACGCATTATAATCATTGAATTTTCGATTTTCGGTTTTTCCATTTTTAGATTTTCGATTTTTCAGTTTTGTATTTTCAGATTTTCTGTTTTTCGCATATCTGATTCATCAAATTTTCGATTTTTCGGCTTCTCGATTTTTCGATATTTGATTTTCGAATTTTCGATTGTTCAGTTTTCCATTCTTCAGCTTTTAGACTTCAATTTTTTTACTTTTCGATTTTCCGAATTTTCGAGTTTCAATTTTCAGATTTTTGATTTTTCGATTTTCCTTTTTAAATCTTTGAACTTTTCGGTTTTAATTTTTCGAATTTTTGATTTTTAATTTTTTCATTCTTCGGTTTTTAGACTTCAATTTTCTTTCTTTTAAATTTGTCGATATTCTCCGCTTTTCAGAATATTCGATTTTCAGTTTTCAGACTTTCGATGATTAGAATTTTGGATTTTTCAGTTTTATGATTTTTCGATTTTTAGAAAATTTGAGTAGTCTAATTTTTTCGATTTTTCAATTCATCGATTTTTCCATGTTCAATTTTTCAATTTAAATTTTGCGATTTTCAATTTGTCCATTGTCGAATTTTAGATTTTTCGGTTTTTCAATTTTTCCATTCTCAACTGTTAGACTTCAATTTTGTTACTTTCCGATTTTTTGGTTTTCGATTTTCCAATTTTCAGAATTTCCAAGTTTCTTTATTCAGATTTGCGATTTTCCACTCTTTCGATTTTAGATTTTTCGAATTTTTGTTTTTCCAATTTTTTGCTTTTTCGATTTTTCTGTTCGTTTCAGTTTTTAGGCTTTGCAATTTTTTTTACTTCATATATTTTGTTTATTTTAATTTCCGATTTTTTTATTTTTGTTTTTGATTTTTTTAATTTTCAATATTACAAATTTTTGACTTTTCGATTTTTTGGTTTTCCCGTTTTTCAATTTTCGTTTTTGAGCTTTGTGAATTTCCACTTTTCGATCGACCTAGGTATTTGATTCATTGAATTTTCGATTTTTTGATTAGCCATTTTTAGATTTTCGATTTTTACGATTTGTATTTTTCGATTTTCTGGTTTTTGCATTAGTGAATTTCAGTTTTTCCGATTTTTGATTTTGCGCATATTTGATTAATCAAATTTTCGAAAAAGTTACCATGCTTACAAAAACTTCAAAACATCTACAATATTTCAAAGTATTCAGTTTTGCTATTCTTGATTTCTTCAATAAAATAAATTGAATCAGTCATTAACTTTTTGAGACACCCTGTATAACCAAATCAAAAAAATATTAATGCAGTGATAATCACAAGTATAAAACTTATCATATTTTAGACATTTAAGATAGGATTTATTCTGCAAAATTTTGAGGTGACGTCATAATTTTTTTAGAGGGGATAAGCAAATATATTGTAATTAAAAATGTATTATGTTTATCATGATTTTAAAACATCTGCAAGATTTCCAAGTATTCGCTTTTGCAAGTTCAAAATTAAATTGTAAAATATTGTTTTATAATTTTGATTTTTTTTCCAAAAATCTGGACGTTTCGGATAAAAACTCAACACGGAGTCATAAACTACATGTGTAGGACTATGTTACTGTATACAATTTAAAACCCATTTACTATGCATAAATTTGAAGTGACGTCATCACATTATTGGTAGGGATGATTAAACAAATTTAATAATTATGCGACATTTATGAAAAAAATATCAGTTAACGAAAATGGCACGTTTTTATTATTATGCCAGTTACATGTCACTCAACGACAATATCGTTTTTTTTTAAGAGTATTTTATTTGAAAAAGTGTACCATAAGTGTGACCTTTGTTCGTTTGCTTTGATAGCAGGAATTTCAAACGGTTTGTTAATTGGCTTACCTAATTAAGCTAACAAGAATAGTACATTCGGCGCACTGTTTGCTTAATTGTTGGAATTACTTGGGTCGGATCTTCGTGAATTCTGTAATTCATGAATGAACGGTCGGGTGAAGAATTTTGCACCGTTATCGTTTCGAGTTTTGGAAATCGCTTTTTTCCGATGAAATGTCGACGAACACGTTTTCGAGACTCTCTAATTAGTGAGCTAATTAATGTAATCGTGCGTTGGTTTTATAGAAAGTCCGTAAACAGCACCGATTTCTTTGCACGCGCGTTTTGTGTGTTGTCCTCTACTGGTGGTTTATGAATCCGCCTGATCGATCGTCTCTTTTTCTAGGTGGAACAAAGAGATGTGCCTGGAATCGACTGCGCCTACTTGGCCATGGATACAGAAGAAGGAGTCGAAGTCGTTTGGAACGAGGTTCAGTTTTCCGAACGTAAAAACTTTAAGAACCAGGAGGAAAAAATTCAACTCATTTTTGAGAATCTCACGCAACTCGAGCACCCAAACATTGTCAAATTCCATCGGTACTGGACCGATACCCACAACGACAAGCCTCGGGTAAGGAGTGTTTTTTTTTGGGTACAATTCCTCCAGGATGCTTTCTTTTTTCGACTCGAGTATATACAGTATGTTGCATTTTGCCAGGAAAAGTACAAGTCATGGAGTTATAAATAGAAGCCGGTTGGAATGCATGTAGACGATCCGAATCGTGTTTACCGTTCGTACAATGATTAATCAAGTATTCAGTCGAAAAAGTGTGCGAGTTGAAAAAAAAGCATGAATATGTAGATGTAGAGAGAGAATCAATAACCCATTGAATTCAGGTGTTGCACGTGTTTTTTCGTTGCAGGTCATATTTATTACGGAGTACATGTCGTCAGGTTCCTTGAAACAGTTCCTCAAGCGTACGAAGCGCAACGTGAGAAGGCTGCCGCTCCCGGCGTGGCGGAGATGGTGCACACAAATCCTCTCCGCTTTAAGGTAAATAGTAAAGACCCGGTAAACCCAAAAAAACTGTACCAATTGTAGTTGTTAAGTTACTATTAAAATTAAATTTAAACCTAGTTGTTAAGAGTCTGAATTGTAAAAGTCGCCACGACGATTGTGACTCGTGAGTATGTAAGTCGTCGTGGCCGACGCCGCCCCCGTACTTATCCACATATCTAACATGTAACATTGTTAATACCATGTGTTCACAGTGCCAGCGCAAAGGTAAGTGCTTTTTAGCCGAAAAATACAATTTCTGTGCACCAAATCACAAAATCCGAAACCAATTCTCTCTCCGGAATTTCTGCGCCGTCCTCAGGCGCGGCCCGCCGTCGTTCTGTTCGCATTCTGATTTTTGGTTTCCGGGCCGCGCCTCGGCCGTCGCGCAGAAATCCGCTTTTGTTTGTGTCAGCAGTTCGCAGCGAGATCGGCCGGCGTTCGTCAGTTCTATGATCTGCAGTCTGTTTTCTTTCCAGTTACTTGCATTCCTGTTCTCCGCCAATCATCCACGGCAATCTGACCTGTGATACCATATTTATACAGCACAATGGCCTCGTCAAGATTGGATCAGGTAATCACACCGAAACTCTCATGAATTCACTTTTTTCGAAAAAATTGTGTCTTTCAATTGGTTTTTTTTATTTTTGGAATTTTTGCTGCCTAGCCCGCGACCGGCGGCGGCGGATAGTTACGCCCGGCCCGGACGCGACCGCTTCACGCGGCCGCCGCGCGGCGGCGGCGTCAAGCGGTCGGCGCGCCGGACCCGGCCTGCGGGGCCCGTTTCGACGGCGCGCGTTAATCCCTCTTCAGTCATTTCGCGCGCACGCGCCAGCGATGAGTGAGGAAGGATACTATGTAAAACGCCCGCTATCGGCTCGCGTCCCAACCATCTTCGAGCGGGGGCGGCGCGCCGCCGCGCGGCGGCCGCCCGGAAGGCTCGAGGATGGTTCGACGGTCCGCTGGCCGTCGCTTGTCGGCTAGCAGCCACACGAGGAGCTATAAACTTTTTTTACTAATTTCGCTTTCATTTCTCTAGTGGCTCCCGATTCCATAAACCATCACGTTAAAACATGCCAGGACGATTTCAAAAATATGCATTTCATTGCACCAGAACATCCTAGTAAGTAATTGGCTTTTATAGTGATAGTTGGTTTTTTGTCGAGCGGGTTTCGTTGCGTTCGGTGAGCAGGATCGCCACCCCCGTTTTGGCAGGGGGCGAGGAGCGCAACGAAATTTCCTATCTGTTTTTGTGTGTTTTATTGTTTGAGCTTTATTGCGTGGTGATGGTTTGCATATTTGGTATCTTTTGCACACTCATTTCTATCCCGCATTCGCACTAATCATCACGTGTTTAGTTTTTTTTTTTGTTTGTTGGTTTCTAGTTATCGACTGCACTAACGGCGTTAGTTGATTGCTCCCTTTTTTCGATTGTGTCATAAATCTAACCTCAACCGATAAATTACTGCTAAAAGGTCGTCCGGTTGCCGCAAGAACCGAAACGAACCACCTTATTATTTATTGCTTAATTATGAACGAGTGAATCGGTGTTTTTCTCAGAAATTATACAGAATTATAATGGGTGGCGCCACAAACCGTTACGGTATTTTTTTTTAATTAATCGTCTATTACCGTTCCACAAATCGAAATCCCACAAGCAATTAATTTAATTGACTATTATTACGACTCGAGTGTGATGAAAGTCGTTTCTTTTAAAAATTAGTCAAAAAAACCCAAGTACTTGTAAAGTACATTACCAAAGTTGATGTCATTTCTTGTAAAACCGAGAAACTCACTTTTTTGCAGAAAAACAGATGCGTCAAGCAAATAAACGCAGCGAATACTTTAGTAACAGTAAATACGATTTTTTTTATTGGTGGTTGTATAATTTTGTGTTGATTTTGTGAGGTCACACTTGTTAAAATAATTATTGTTCGTCGCAGCTCGGTACGGATGTACCGCAAACACACGCTTAAATTTTTTTGTTTGGCCTACTTTTGTCTTATCAGTTTTCGGGTTTACTTAAAATCTAACTCAATAGTTGAAGTGTTGACCCTCGAAGATCTGATAACGGCTGCTTATCGTACGAGGGGGATAAAGGCATTATTGCCGCACGTAAGTGCAATTTGCCTACTGTCATGGTCATGATAATCGGTCAGCCCACGTGTGACGTAAAAAATTCAGTTGAGGACTTTTGAATTTTGCACTAGACACTCGTGCTAAAAAATAAGTGGGGTAATGTAGCATTCCGCGCACTCGTGTGAGGCGAGATACTCATTACAAATCTTGTCGTAGATGAAGTATTTTTGTATTAAAAAAATTGTTGTTTGAAAAATAATAAAATTTAGTCCCATGGAATCACGTCAGAGAAAACATTCTAATTTTAGACATGGTGTCACCAACGTCACATGACCGTGGCCTGAGTAACACTAACACCTAAACAAAAGAAAATCGCCATTCAGCTGTGTTTATTTTTTTTTGTGGTATTTTTTGCATTATAGTTCAATTATTACGCGACTTCTACAATTTCCATATGTAAGTGCCGCTTTTTAACCAATAAAATGGGCGATTAGAACGAAAACCGGGTGGGTGGGCGGGGCCACTTTGAATTTTATGAAAAGCCAATAAAACGAGTGACTAATTTCCTTGGTTCTTTATTAGAGAATCTTATCTCGGCAAACCTGACAATCTAGAACAGAATATTTTAAGAACTTGAAAAATATAATTAATTAAAGTGATTAAAATTTTACCGAAAACATCCAGATGACCAAAAAAAATTTTGAAAAGAGGAATAAAAATCAAATTTTGGGAAAAAATGATTTTGAATAAGAAAATTAAAATCGTGAAATCAGACCGGTTTAAAAAAAAATAAGAGCCAAATAAAGCAGGGAAAAAGTCAGATCAGATCGAATTAAAATCCACTTTTCGTTGAATAAAATTAGTAATGAGAAAGAAAACCGGGTGGGTGGGTTATTCCCTCCAAAAAATTGATGACGTTAGCTCAAAATTTTGCCAAATAAATCCCATATAAAATATACAAAATATGATTAATCTGCACCCGTTATTTATTAGTTTTTTTGGATTTGTTTATAGATGTCCAAAAAAAATTAATGACTGAGTCAATTTATTTTATTGATTCAATCGAGCATTGCAAAAACTGAGTAGTTTGAATCTGTTTATCAACGCCAAAAAATTGAATGACGTCATCTCAAAATTTTGCCGAATAAATTCTACCCAAAATGTGCAAAATATGTGTTTTTACTAGTGATTTATTTATCATTGCGTTCAAATTTTTTAGATTTGCGTAAATAGGGGGCTCAAAAAATTAACGAATGACTCAATTTATTTTATTGATTAAATCGGAACGGCTCACTCCATTTTCCCAGAAAATTTTGGGAATGCACCAAAATTTTCAGTCCTTGCAAAAAATGTTGATGACGTCATCACAAAATTGTGTAAAGAAGAAACTCAACTCGAGAATGCTGGATACGTTTCATTGTACTTCTTTTGTAAAGTGGGAATGGGAACTATTTAATTTGGGATATTACTTATTTGCTATAACATTTATTTCTCATTTCTGAAGAAAAAAATTAGAGAACGGGTGGGCAGGCGGGGCTAAATTTAACTTTTTTTCTGTAGAATCTTTTATAGGCAAGCAATAGCCCCGCCCACCCACCCCCTCTTCATTCCAGTGATTACATTTAATATTGTTCAGTCATTTACCGAAATTAGTCTAAAACAATATTATTAAGAGTATTAACTGGAATGAAGAGAGGGTGGGTGGGCGGGGCTAAAATGAACTTTTTTCTGTAGGATCTGAAAAGCAGGCAATAGCCCCGCCCACCCACCCCGTCTTCAATCTAGTGATTACTTTTATTATTGTTCAGTCATTTACCGAAACCAGTTTAAAACAATATTATTAAGAGTATTAACTGGAATGAAGAGAGGGTGGGTGGGCGGGGCTAAATTAATTTTTTTTCTGTAGAATTTTAAAAGCAAGCAATAGCCCCGCCCACCCGCCCCTTCTTCATTCCAGTGATTACTTTTAATATTGTTCAGTTATTTACGGAAACCAGTCTAAAACAATATTATTAAGAGTATTAACTGGAATGAAGAGAGGGTGGGTGGGCGGGGCTAAAATGAACTTTTTTCTGTAGGATCTGAAAAGCAAGCAATAGTCCCGCCCACCCACCCCGTCTTCAATCTAGTGATTACTTTTATTATTGTTCAGTCATTTACGGAAACCAGTCTAAAACAATATTATTAAGAGCATTAACTGGAATGAAGAGAGGGTGGGTGGGCGGGGCTAAATTTATTTTTTTTGTGTAGAATCTTATAAGCAAGCAATAGCCCCGCCCACCCGCCCCGTCTTCAATCTAGTGATTACTTTTAATATTGTTCAGTCATTTACGGAAACCAGTCTAAAACAATATTATTAAGAGTATTAACTGGAATGAAGAGAGGGTGGGTGGGCGGGGCTAAAATGGACTTTTTTCTGTAGGATCTGAAAAGCAAGCAATAGCCCCGCCCGCCCACCCCGTCTTCAATCTAGTGATTACTTTTATTATTGTTCAGTCATTTACGGAAACCAGTCTAAAACAATATTATTAAGAGTATTAACTGGAATGAAGAGAGGGTGGGTGGGCGGGGCTAAATTTAACTTTTTTCTGTAGAATCTTATAAGTAAGAAATAGCCCCGCCCACGCACCCCCTCTTCATTCCAGTGATTACTTTTAATATTGTTTAGCCATTTATCGAAACCAGTCTAAAACAATATTAAGAGTAATCACTGGAATGAAGAGAGGGTGGGTGGACGGGGCTTAATTTAACTTTTTCCTACAGAATCTTTTATAAAGCAAGCAATAGCCCCGACCGCCCACCCTGTCTTCAATCTAGTGATTACTTTTATTATTGTTCAGTCATTTACGGAAACCAGTCTAAAACAATATTATTAAGAGTATTAACTGGAATGAAGAGAGTAAGGGTGGGCGGGGCTAAATTTAACTTTTTTTCTGTAGAATCTTATAAGTAAGCAATAGCCCCGCCCACCCACCCCCTCTTCATTCCAGTGATTACTTTTAATATTGTTTAGCCATTTATCGAAACCAGTCTAAAACAATATTAAGAGTAATCACTGGAATGAAGAGAGGGTGGGTAGGCGGGGCTTAATTTAACATTTCCCTACAGAATCTTTTACAAAGAAGCAATGGCCCCGCCCACCCATCCTCTCTTCGTTCCAGTGATCACCCTTATGTTCAGTCATTTACCAAAATCAGTCTAAAACAATATTAAGAGTAATCACTGAAATTAAGACAGGGTGAGTGGGCGGGGCTAAATTTAACTTCGTCCTACAGAATCTTTTATAAGCAACCAATAGCCCTGTCCACCCACCCTCTCTTCATTCGCGTGATTACTTTTAATATTGTTCAGTCATTTACTGAAATCAGTCTAAAACAATATTAAAGGCTAATCATTGGAATGAAGAGAGGGTGGGTGGGCGGGGCTAATTATAACTTTTTTCTGTAGAATCTTTTATAAGCTAGCGATAGCCCCGCCCACCCACCCCTCGTCATTCCACTGATTACTTTTAATATTGTTCAGTCTTTTACCGAAGTCAGTCTAAAACAATGTTAAGAGTAATCACTGGAATGAAGAGAGAGTGGGTGGGCGGGGCTAAATTGAACTTTTTTCTATAGAATCTTATAAGCAAGCAATAGCCCCACCCACCCACCCCCTCTTCATTCCAGTGATTACTTTTAATATTGTTCAGTTATTTACCGAAATCAATCTAAAACGATATTATTAAGAGTAATCACTGGAATGGAGAGAGGGTGGGTGGGCGGGGCTAAATTTAACTTTTTCCTACAGAATCTTTTATAAGCAACCAATAGCCCCGCCCACCCGCCCTCTATTTTTTTTTGGGTCGTGAATTGCCATAATCAGTCTTATCTTAACAAGTACTACAATCCAAAAATCCTTGCAAAAATGTTGATGACGCCATCATAAAATTCTGTAAAGTAAAATCAATTGGAAAATGCTGGATGTTTCATTGTACTTTAGGAGTGAGGGAAGTTCTGTTGAAACAACTTTCGACAATTTTTTTATTGCACCACTTTTGTCTTATCAGTTTTCGGTTTGCTTAAAATGTATCTTGTAGTTGAAGTGTTGACCCACGAAGATCTGGTAATGGCTGCTTATCGCACAAGGAGGATAAGGGCATTATTGCCGCACGTACGTGAAGTTGGTCTACGCTAATCGGTCAGCCTACGTGTGACGTAAAAATTTAGTTACGGACTTACGAATTTAAAAAAAAAAGATTTTTTGGGCAGAATTTCCCACTAATTTGAAGTACATATACAAATCCCGTTTTTTCGGAAAATAATAAAATTTTGTTTTGTGATTGCCACCCCCTCAATTTGAAAAATTGCGTATTTTTTAAACACTGGAAAATTTGGTCCCATGGAATCACGTCAAAGAAAACATTCTAATTTTAGCCGTGGTGTCACTAACGTCACATGACCATGGCCTGAGTAACACTACCACTTAAACAAAAGAAAATCGCCATTCAGCTGCGTTTATTTTTGTTGTAATGGTTTCATTATTATGCGACTTGTACAAAATTCCATTTAATTTATAATGTCATAATTAAAAAAGAATAATCAAGATTTATCGTAATCTTTTGTTTGGGAATTCCTGGAGCTCTAAAACAACTGATGCTTACATTTTATTGGTTCTTATCTGAATTACGGTTGTCAATCGTTGTAGAATTCTAGTGAACCTAATATAAATTATCTCTATTGCTTTGGCCTTTTTAACAATTGATTTAAACGCATTGTGAAACTGTAAATTGCAGTTTTGAGCGATAGGAGTACAGATTAAAATGAAACGAATGCAGATAATACTAAATTATAATAATAATATTAGAAGAACGCAACAACCAGTAGCGCTAATAATAGAAAATAATTCTGCAAGGCCATCCGCAGTGCAACAAAATTTCATACACTTCACCTTTCAGCGCATCCCAAAACAAATACTCGAAACCTTAAGCACTCAAATAAAATAATTTATCACCTCTCTGTTACGGGGTGAAACATTTATAGTTCCTACATTCGAAAAGGTCGCGCACTCGAAAATAAACCCAAGGCCGTCGTCCCGCGAAAATTTCAAACCGGTGCAATTACTCCGAACATCATTTGAAACCCCAGAAAAAGATCCACTCGTGACTCAGACGCCGGCAATCGAGCATGAATAACTCGTTACTGGAACTCGAAAAAAAAACCTTGGACCTTGGGATTTTTGCATCACGTTAATTCGTCACCCCATTTTCTCCGCTTGTTAACTTTGCGTCACACAAGACACTCGCAGGGTGCCGAAGCGAACGGCCGCACTAAATATGGGTTGTTTTAGGCACGATGGGCCCCCCCATGGACATCTACTCGTTCGGCATGTGCGCGCTGGAGATGGCCGCCTTGGAAATCGTCGGCAACGGCGACTCCGGCAACAAAGTGACGGAGGAGAACATCAAAAAGACGATCGATTCTCTGGAGGACGAGCACCAGAAGGACTTCATCCAGAAGTGCCTCCAGAAGAATCCCAACGACAGGCCCACGGCGAGGGAGCTCCTGTTCCACCCGCTCCTCTTCGAAGTGCACAGCCTGAAGCTCCTCTCGGCCCACTGCTTGGTCAAGAGATCTGGTTAGTAGCGATTTTTCGAATTTCGCGCCGAGCCGACTTCACCCGAGCTCGAATTCCGCCTCGCGGTTACGTAACGCGATTTTTCTGATTGTCGGTGATGGTCTTTTTTTTCAGCGAACATATCTGAAACGATAACAGATGAGTTGATGCAGAGGTGGTACGGCCCTGATATGATAGTCGCCGAAATCAGGCGCAAGTCCGGGCCACCGATCCAGATGAAGATGTCCGATATTCCGATTACGGAAAAACTCGAGAAGTTCGTTGAAGACGTCAAGTGAGTTGTGTTTTTTTGGCGAAAGTGACGAAAGGTCTGACTGAATTCCTGCAGGAACGGCATTTATCCTTTAACGGCCTTCGGTGCCAAGCAACCCCCTCCGGCCCGATCCAGGGCGATATCACCGGAAATGGCGGAATCGGTCAAGTCCGTCACCCCGGAACCTATGGACGTAGAAAATAGGAAAATTGTCAATATGATGTGCGACATCAAACCCAAAGAAGAGAGCTGTGATTTATTGGTGAGTGTAGTTAGTTGAAAAGCGGTAAAAATATTCTGCTCAGTATAATATTTTTTCGACAAGTTACCTTTACCGATATATTATACAATTGTTCAGTGGAAAATATAAATGTCATATAACAAATTTTTTGTTATAGTAACTAATTTTAACGAAATGTTTTTATCATGGAAGTTATGTATATTATTCATTTTGTTCAGTAAATAAAACTATTGTCCTGTAAAAATAACGAAAGCTCAGTTAAAAATGTTGGATGTACAGTAGAAATTGAACAGGTTTGTTAGAAAATTATGATGTTCTTTATAGTTAACACCCACACATGATACATAACCTCATTATTTTTTTAGAATATGCATGTTAATCTTTATTACATATATAGAATCATTTATTCAGTGGCGTAGCTAACTTCCACATAGCATTTATTAAAATCATAAAATGCGGAAATTCCTGGTACATTCTTAAGGCCAGTCCCCACGTTTTCTCAGCGGAATTTTCGCTCTATTTTCAAAATGTAATATCTCCGTTATTAACAGATCTATAGTTTTCAAATTTTAAATATATGTTGTCCATAACTTTCTTTATATAACGCAAGGGCAATTTTGTTAAAAACAGCTTGTGATCATATTATTTTTTTAATTTTAGTGAAATTTTTGCATAACGTATTTTTAAAAATCAATATCTCAATTATTAAATAAAATTTCAGAACACGGTTTTCAACACTGTTTTCAGCTTACAAAACTCCAGAAATCATACGAGACATATCGTCGATTTTATTTTTTAGAAACGATACACAGTTAAAAAAAGCGTATATCATGGAAGTTGCTAACTTTTATTTTTACTATATCTCAGTCCCAACAAATAAAGTCAAAAATCGACCTCGTAGAATTTCTCAAGTTTTGCAAGCTGAAAACAGTGGTGACAACCCCGTTCCAAAATATCCATAAATAATATAATTATTATTTATGGATATATATTATATTATATAATTGATTTTTAACAATACGTTATGCAAAAATTTCACTAAAATTAAAAAAATAATATGATCACAAGCTGTTTTTAACAAAATTGCCCTTGCGTTATATAAAGAAAGTTATGGACAACATATATTTAAAATTTGAAAACTATAGATCTGTTAATAACGGAGATATTACATTTTGAAAATAGAGCGAAAATTCCGCTGAGAAAACGTGGGGACTGGCCTTAACAGAATCATTAAGGACTAAATTGAGGTTATGCGTAGCGCAATGAACATATTCGGCGTAATGATGTTCTTTCAAGTTCTTCATTTTTTTTTTACCATTTTCCCGATTTTTTAATTTTCATTTTCTGAATTTGATATCACAATTTTTCGTTTATTCAATGCCTCGATTTTCCAATTTTCAATATTTAGATTTTACAATAATTTTCGTGTTTTCGACCGCAATTTTTCGATCTTTAAGTTTCTCAATTTTTAATCTTTCGATTTTTGAATTTTCCGTTTCTTCATATTCTCAAGTTTTTCGATTTCTTGAAGCTTTCATTTTATACTTTTGCGTTTTTTCATTTTGAGTTTTCAATTTTACAATTTTTCTATTTTATAACTTTTCCATTTTGTTTATTCAGAAAGTAGAAAATTCTAAAAATTGAAAAATCGGAAAATTAAAAAATTGGAAAAAATTGCAAAATCGATAAAACGGAAAATTGAATGGAATTTGTTTTTACGATTTTTTAATTTAATCTGTATTTCAATTTTTTGAGTTTTTCGATTTTTCCGTTTATCTTTTTTTTAAGTAAATATTTCAATCTTGAATTTTCCGATTTCGGCCTATTTCGATCTCTCGATCTTTTGAGTCTCAAGTTTTCGATTTCGATTTCTTGGTTTTTCGATTTTCAAAATTTTCGATTTTTCTACTATATATTTTAAATTTTCGATTTTTAAAATTTTTCATTTTTCCCTTTTATAATCTTTATGTTTCGATTTCCCGATTTCAATTTTTTAATGTGTTTCAATTTTTCCATTTTTAGAATTTTCGATTCCTCATCTCAATTTTCCAATTTTAAAAATTTTTCAATTTCTCGATTTTTAAGTTTTCGCTATCTCAATTTTGGGAATTTTTCAATTTTGTATATTTTTCAGATTTTCGATATTTTCATTTTTCCATTACCTTTATTTTTTTCAATGTTTCTTTGGATTTTATAATTTTTTGTTTATTCAATTTTTTACATTTTCAATCTTTGATTTTTTAAGTTCTTGATTTCCAATTTTTTTTATATTTCGAAGCTTCATTTTCTACTTTTTCAGTTTTACAATTTTTCTATTTTATAATTTTTTGATTTTGTTTACTCGAAAAGTTAAAAACTCGAAAAAATGAAAAATTGAAACAATGAAAAACTAAAAAAAGAGAAACTTACAAATCAAAAAAAAATGAATGAATCGAAGAATGGGAAAGAAGAAAAATCATTCGAATTGAAAAATTGGAAAATCCAAAAATTGTAAAATCGAAAAATTATAGAATCTTGAAAATTGTAAAGTCCAAAAACTGTGACATTCAAACACCGAAAAATTGAAAAATTCCAAAAACGAAAAACTGAAAAGTGAACAACTTTAAAAATTATAATTATTAGGACTGTTACATAATTAAAATGAAAACTAGAAAAACTGCAAATGAAAAATTAAAAAAACGGAAAATTGAAAAAATAAAGAAAATTAAAAACCCTCACGAAAAATTGCAAATCGAAAAATTGGCGAAATTAAAAACTGAAAACTCGTGAAATTTGCAAACTGTAAAATTTGAAACATCTAAAAGTTGGAAAATTAAAACTGAAAAATCGAGAAATCGAAAATTTTCAAAACTGAAAAATCGAAATTTTGGAAAATCGACAAACCGAGGAATTCAAACTGAAAAAAGATCGAGAATTCAAGATGTCGAAAAATCTAAATATCTAAAATTTAAAAAATAGAAAAATTACAATAACGAAAAATTTAACATTAAAAAAACACAAAATCAAAAAGTCGAAAAATCGAGAAATTGAGAAATGGAAAAATGAAAATTTAGAAAAACCAAAGATTGAAAAGCATAAAAAAATTAAAATCGGGAAATCGGAACGGAAAAAGAATAAAATCGAAAAATTGAAAAATTTTAAATTTAAAAATTCGAAAACTTGAAAAACCGAAAAACTGAAGAAATGAAAAACTAAAAAATCGACAAATTGAAAAATCTCCAAACTGAAAAGTCGAAAAATTGAAAAACCCAAAAATCGATTTCCGGTAAGTCGAAAAATCAAAATTTAAAAAGTTGAAAAATGAAAATATCAAAAAACTGAAAAATATAGACATTCTCGAAATTGAAATGTTGAAAAATTGAGAAATCGAAAACTTGAAAAAAAGAACGAAAAGTAAAAACATTTTAAAATCGAAAAAACGGAAAATCGAGATGTAAGAAATCGAAGAAAATTCTAAAATCGAAAAATTGCAATACACGTTGAAAAGGTTAAAATCGGGAGGTCGAAGCATAACAAAACATAAAATCGAAAAATGGAAAAGCCGAGAAATCGAAATTAAAAATTTGAGACATCAGAAGATCCGTGAAATGGAGAAATCGAAAAACCGGAAAATTTAAAACTGAAATACATATTTAAACTTAAAAAAAAAACGGTTAATCAAAATATGCAAAATTCGAAAAATCATAAATTTTAAAAATCGAAAAAAAAAATTGGAGATATTGAAAAATCCCAAAATTGCAACAACGAAAACTTGAGAAATCGAAAAACTGAAAAATCGATAAATTGGAAAGAGAAAAAATCGAAAAATCAAAGAATTGATTAATAGAGAAATTGAGAAATGTAAAAATGAATTTTTTTTTAAATTGCAAAAATTGTAAAATTGAAATATCGAAAAAGTAAGTAAACTAAAAATCGAGAAATCAAGAAATCGAAAAATTGTAATTCAATTTTGTTTTATTTTTCCACAAAAATTTCGATGTCGAAGATAAAAATTCAACACGGATTCATAGACCATAGGTACACTGTTACTTTTTTTTAATTTATATAACATTTATTTGACAAAATTGTAGAACTGAAGAAACGAAAAATAGAAACATTGAAAAACTAGAAATCGAGAAAAAATTAATGAATCAAAGAACGAATTAAATCGAAAAATATTCGTAAAGTCCAAAAACTAACATTCAAAGATCGAAAAATTAAAAAATTCCAAAAACGAAAAATTGAAAAAGTGAACAACTCTAATAAAAATTATAATTATTATTACATATCTAAAATGAAAATTAGAAAACCTGCAAATCAAAAATTGAAGAAACGAAAAATTGAAAAATCCAAAAACTGAAAAATTTCAAATTGAGAAAATGTGATCTATTTTTTTTTTACAATTTTATGTTAATTTTTATAAAGGACAATTGTTTCCTACCTATTGTTACAATTACTATGTACTTATAGATTACTATTTTTTACTAAATATGGGTATTCATTAAAACGTTCCATCGCCAGTTAGGTCAACCAGACACTCTAGCATTTCTACTGAACATCTATTATTTTTACTAAACACAGCACAATTAAATACTTGCACATTGTACTGGTCAGGTTTTATTTTAATACTTACAATTTCTACTGAACAAACTTATTAATGTACGTAACAAACTATTTAAGTTACCTAAAAAAAATGCATTTTATACTTATCATTTAATTACAAGCCAAAAATTTTGTGTGTCACTCGTGAAATAAAGCTTGTTGTTTCAACAGTTTTTCTTTTGCAGTTGACGATTGTACTCCGCATGGACGATAAAATGAATCGCCATTTGACTAGTTGTATTACGCAGACGGATTCTCCGAAAGGTTTAGCTCAAGAGTTGGTACATTATGGTTTCATAAACGAAGTAAGTAGTGCGTTCGTACGCGTCGTTTGTTTGGTTAAAAATGTGGAAAGTGGCTTTAGATCCGGGAAGTAGAAGGTCGTGTTTTTCGTCAGCTTGTCGTGTCGCTGTTTGTTTATGGTGAGAGTAGGACCCCGATTTGTTTATTTTTTCGGAGTGAAGTTAAACACGATTATTATCTGTTTGCGTTTTACAATATTTACATGATGTAGAATGTTTGGATGCATCAATGCTGCTGTTTAATGGCAAATGTGCATCGTAAATGTCTTATAAATCGCGGTGGCGTTTGTTTTGCGGTGAAGTTTACGCGCGAAGGTTGGCAGCGCAGCCTTGTAACGGATTTTTTTGTTTGTAAACGAAATTCGAAAGATGTAGGTTGGCGCGGCAGCACGTAGTAAAATAATAGTCGAAACTGGATTAACAGCACAGTTTTCCTTTTAGTACAACGTAAGAGCGTTGATGCGGCCCGAAGGAGTAAAGTCGACTGACTTGTCGAAGGACGCCTTTTCTGCGCTTAAGCAACTGTTGAGAAAAGCGCTTTACGCAACTCGTTGCATGTAAGCCACTAAAATAGTTCTTTTGTTCCTGCAGGAGGATCGAGACAAGATTGCTGTCCTAATAGGAGAGACGTTAAAGGACTGTTCCGGCCGTAGTAGTCCAAGTAGACTTTTCCAGCCCTTATCGCATATGCCCCCTCCCCAACCGGCCTTGGTGAATGCAGCGCTACCTTTGACGGCTGTCAATTCCACACCTACTCAAGTGCCCATGCACTCCACTAGTTAGTAAAACATAGATACTGCCAATGCACTTTCATATTTCTAAGATGTCAAATACAATAGTTGAAAGTTTAGAAAAACAAAAAAAGAAAGAACACAATTATTTACCATATAATAATAATAATAAATAAATAAAAACAGTGTCTGGACTAACTAGACTCGAGAAAAACCATACTGAAGTCGCGGAAAAATTGCAGGGATTACGGACAGCTAGCTTTGGGATATCGTCGCAGGTAATCGGGGGGAGCGGTGCGAGAGATGGTTTCCTTGCGGCGATATCCGGACGAGTGATAATACGTAGTGACATCATCATCTAAGCTTATTAGGCCGCCTGCATTTTTCCAAGCTAGGTTCATGCCTTAAACAATAATTTGGGTTAGTCTAAACGACGTCATTACGATAGAGTTAGAAAGAAGAAGACTGTTAAAAAATGCTGGACATTACACTAGTCATGTGACCACGTGTTAATCTGTGATCAGAGCTTCAATGACATAAACGCTGGACTGTTTTATCATAGATTTTCATAATGTTGTATGTGATCTGTTTATGATGATGATAATTTTTTATAACTCCTAGGCCGCGCCCGCAGAATCTTGTTTCATTGTTAGTTGAATTTTTTTAGTACTAAGCCAGAGGAGACGGTTTAGCTTCTGTTATTATTGTGAAATACTCGTGTCGCAAATGCATTATGATTTGCCCCTTGAGACTGATGTAATTATTTAGAGAATTAAGGAAAAATGTGAAAAAGATATAGTGCTAGTTGTTGCAGGACTGGACCAATTGTACGTGATCGAGGTTAGGTTCGAACTTGTCGGGAGGGACGCTCTAACTAAACAAACAAATTTACGTCAGCCGCTTCCATCACTTTCAGTTTGAAATCGATTGTTGTTTAATTTTTGATTTTTCGAAATTCGGGCCTAAGTTTTGTGTTTTTTCTTTATCGGTTTCGTTGACGTAAATGGGTTTATTCAGTATCGAGGTTTTATGATGAAGCAACTGTATATAGGTTATACGCTACATATTGTATGAAATTGTAGATAATGGATTTTTTTATTGAGAATTTAGAGAGTAAGGATATTATTTATTTGTATAAGAGTAAATAAGATTGAAAGCCCTGTTAGAGGTCCCGTGTGATAATTCGCTCAAAGTCTGGATGATGGCTAACCTGTGTATGTTATTATATTTAGTCGGTTATGCTTTGCCCATCCATTTTCCAGTATAGCCGCGCAGTCTTTCCGTTATCGAAAGAAAGAGAATGTTCACCCTCACAGCTTCTTCACTGTAAACCTCTTAAAGAAAACACATTCAAGATACAATTATTGTTCTTCCTTAGAGAAAACGAACACAACGTGCAGAGATCGTTTTAATTTGTCAACGTTCGTATTTTAGGATGTTTTCGTTTTCAGTTAGTGATATTAGAGACTATTATGATTTTTTTATACTTATTTATTTCTCATTTGTTACCTATAGCTTGTTATACAGACTTATATATAATCGATTCTTATTGCCATCATAAATTAGCTTGTTTATGATTTAGATTTAGTCATGCCTCTGCATGTTTGTTCAATATTTAGCTCACATTGAGCAAGTGTATATGAAATTCTATATTGAATGCTAACGGAGACTTTGCATTTAAAAAAAGCTTCTGCCAAACACGTCAGCGCTGTACTCTACGGGACGGTCCAGAGAACGGTATCCCATTCGGCTGCACCGAACGGCGCCAAATAGTTTTGCGCAATCTTAAAGTGCCACTGAGTGGCGTACTGTCACTGGCCGCTCCACTGTTTCATATAATTTCATTTAAGTTGTGTTTATTTGTATTGTAATATCACCAATTCTTTACTGTATACCTAATTTAAATAAAGATGCAATACGGACAATTTTGTAATTATTGTGTTTTTTTTTTTTTTTTTGTTGGGGTTGGTATGAGTCGACTGGCGTTGGAAGAATGTACAACTGACATTTGAAGAACTTCAATAGCTAACGTTAATACTAAAGTTTAAAAAAAAAAAAAAGCTAGAATACAAGGTCGGGCTACTGGTGGGAATGAGACACAAAGGAGCAGTAAAATTTCCTGGATTTTGACAATATCAAATGAAAACACTAAATTATGTCACTCTCTGTTAACAATTCAAACATCAGTGCACGAAATTAGAAATTCTACGACACTTTCCATGGTCCATAAATGAGCTATTAGCAATCTTGTGTGAGGAGTTTAAAACACAAATATAAGCAACTTTATTTATAACTTGATAAACAAAAGGATGAGTCCTGAATAAGTGAATCTTATTTAATAATGACTAAAATGTTGTTGATATGAATTGTAAATTTACAAACAAATGTTTAATAATTTTGTTATTTTTTTTTTCAGCGCGAAATTTCAATTTAAATTTGGACACCACAATACTGTTGTATAAGACAACAAAAACATTAACCACAAGTTCCCGGGATTTTCTGAATTGCTGCAGTGTGTCAAAATATTGATTTATTGTTAAATTTTGTCTATGCAACCAACAATACACCAATTTAACTGACCAGTAAAAAAATGTTTGTTTTTCGATTTTCCAAAAAATATCATGGAATTTTTAAATATTAAGTCTCGAATTTTTTTTCAATTTTTCAGTAATCGAAAAACAGTATATATTTATATTTTGTCTTTTTTTTTTTTTAATATACAATATTTAGTATTTGAACAACACGATACTCAAAAACGTGTTTTTAATTTCTTGTGAAGAAATAAATATTTTGCAGTAAAGATCCGTCCCTTTGATCCACGGTAAATAAAAAAAATCATCACAATTGAGATAGGGCGGGTGGGCGGGATTACTTTTTGCCTTTTTGTTTTAAAAAGTGGAGGATTTAAGTTGATTACTACAAAAATTTACCATTTTAGGAATGCTTTAAGTGTCTTGTTGTCGAAATAAGTCTACACATATTAAGAAAAAAAAAGGCAAAATATAAGCCCCGCCCACCCACCCGGTCTCAATTGTGATGATTTTTTTATTCTCCGTGAAGCAAGAGGGCGGAGCTTAACTGCAAAATCCTGTTTCTCTACGAGAAATTAAAAACATGTTTTTGAGTATCAAGTTCAAAGAATATTTCACGATTTTGAACTTTAAGGTTTTTATTCTGAAAAGACGACTACGTATGTTAAGAAAAAGGGCAAAATATAAGCCCCGCCCACCCGCCCTATCTCAGTTGTGATGATTTTTTTTAATCGTCGAGAGCCAAAGCAGCAAAATCTTTATTATTTCTCTACAAGAAATTAACATATAAGATATGTTTTTGAAAATCGTGTTATTTTTCGATTTTTTAATTTTTCTGTTTTTCAGTGAGCTGATTTTATAATTTTTCTTTTTTTAATCTGAAATTTGAAAAACGTAAAAAGTAAAGAGTCGAAAGATCGAAAAATCGAGGGAGAATGGAAAAACCGAAAAACTGGAAAATAGAAAAATCGAAACGAAAAAAATTGAAAACCCAAAGTTTAAACATTGAAAAATTGAAAAACCGAAAAATCAAAGAATCGAAAAACTTAAAAATCGTAAAACTGAAATATCGAAAAGTTGAGCAAAATGTTTCGATTTTTTCAATTTTTCGTTTTGGTTTTTTATTTCGTTTATTTTTTCAGGTTTTCGGTTCTTCAATGATCTTACGATTTTTTTTGTTAATGTGAAATTTGAAAAATCGGAAAATCAAAAATTTTTTAAATTGGAAAATCGAAAAAACGAAGACCAATTGAAGATGCGAGAAATTGAAAAATCAAGAAATCAAAACGTCAAAAAAAAATCGGAAAACCTAAAGTTTAAACTTCGCAAAATTGAAGAACTGAGAAACTGAAATCGAAAAATCGAGAAATCGAAAATAGAAAATTTAAAAATTGAAACATTTAAAAATCTAAAAATTTAAGTCAAAAAACTGAAAAATCGTAAAACTAAAATTTCGAAAAATTGAGTAAAATTTTGGATTTTTCAATTTTCCGTGTCTTCAGTTTTTAGATTTGCATTTTATCGTTTCGGTTTTTTATTTTGTTTATTTTTCAGTTTTTCTATTTTCCAATGTTCTGATTTTGAAAATTTTTTTTCAATATGAAATTTTTCACTTTTCCGATTCGCAATTTTTCGATTTTTCAACTTTTGGATTTTGATTGCAATTTTTAAAGTGCTCGTTTTAAATATATAATAATTATTACTATAATTTTTTAAATAATTCACATTTTCTTTAGAATTTTTCCATTTCTCAATAAATTACTAGATTTTAAAACTTTTTCATTTATTCGACTTTTCAATTTTGCGATTTTTAATTTGTCATTTTTTCGATGCTTCAATTTTTAATTTCTTCAAATGTTTTTATTTTCTTTATCCTTACAATTTTTGTTCAATGTTCTGATTTTATTATTTTTTGTTTTTTCAATTCCACTTTTTTCAATTTTTCATTTCTTCAGTATTACAAAATGCGACTTTTCGAATTTCCATTTTAAAATTTTTCAGACCAGAATTCTTTCAAAATCCATATTTCCTTGCAAAAATGTACCATGTTAACCGTGTTCTAAGTTTCTCGTTGTGAAAAGATGGCTATGTATATTAAGAAAAAAAGGCAAAATATATGCCCCGCCCACCCACCCGGTCTCAATTGTGATTATTTTTTTTATTGGCCGTGAACCAAGAGGGCGGAGCTTAACTGCAAAATCCTTTTTCTCTACGAGAAATTAAAAACATGTTTTTGAGTATCGTGTTGTTCAAAGAATATTATGTATATTAAGAAAAAAATAAAGCCAAAGATTACGCCCTACTCATAGCCGCCTCAATCTCAGTTCTCAATTGTGATTAATTTTTCATTCGTTGTCAGATTAAGGGGCGGGGCTTAACTGCAAGATCCATATTTGTGTACAAGAATTCATGATTTTAAACTGTAAGGTTCTTTTTCTGAAAAGACGACTAAGTATGTTAAGAAAAAAGCAAAATATAAGCCCCGCCCACGCGCCCTATCTCAGTTGTGATGTTTTTTTGAATACCGTGTTATTTTTCAATTTTTAATTTTTCGTATCGGTTTTTTCTTTTGTTTATAATTCTTTAGTTTTTCTGTTTTTTAATATTCTGATTTTATGATTTTTCTTTCTTTTTTAATCTGAAATTTGAAAAATGGAAAAATAAAAATTTTAAATTCGGGAAAATTGAAAAACGGAAAAAGTGAAGGGTCGAAAGATTGAAAAATCGAAGGAAAATGGAAAAACCGAAAACCCAAAGTTTAAACATCGAAAAATTGAAAAACCGAAAAATTAAACAATTGAGGAACTGAAAAATCGAAAAGTCGAAAAATCCAAAAAACGGTTAATTTAGACATTGAAAAATTGAAAATAAAAAATTTGGAAACTTCAAATATTGAAAAATTTAAAAATCCAAAAATCAAAGAATCGAAAAACTAAAAAATCGAAGTGACTCAATTTTTCGTTTCGGTTTTTTATTTCGTTTATTTTTTCAGTTTTCGGTTTTTCAATGTTTTGATTTTACGATTTTTCTTCTTTTAATGTGAAATTTGAAAAATCGGAAAATCAAAAATTTTTTCAATTGGAAAATCGAAAAAACGAGGACAAATTGAAGAACCGAGAAATTGAAAAATCAAGAAATCGAAAAGTCGAAAAACCAAAAAAAAAAACAATTAATCTAGAAACCGAGAAATCGAAAATAAAAAATTTAGAAACGTATTAATTGAAACAATTAAAAATCTAAAAATCAAGTCAAAAAACTGAAAAATCGTAAAACTAAAATATCGAAAAATTGAGTAAAATTTTTGGATTTTTCAATTTTCCAAAAAATATCGTATTTCTTTCAATATGGAATTTATATTATATTAAGTCTGGATTTTTTTTTTCAATTTTTCAGTAATTGAAAAACAATATATATATTTGTATTTTGTCTTTTTAAAAAGATCATCACAATTGAGATAGGGCGGCTGGGCGGGCTTACTTTTTGCCTTTTTGTTTTAAAAAGTGGAGGATTTAAGTTGATTACTACAAAAATTTACCATTTTAGGCATGCTTTAAGTGTCTTGTTGTCGAAATAAGTCTACACATATTAAGAAAAAAAAAGGCAAAATATAAGCCCCGCCCACCCACCCGGTCTCAATTGTGATGATTTTTTTATTCGCCGTGAACCAAGAGGGCGGAGCTTAACTGCAAAATGCTTATTTCTCTACGAGAAATTAAAAACATGTTTTTGAGTATCGTGTTGTTCAAAGAATATTATGTATATTAAGAAAAAAATAAAGGCAAAGAATAGGCCCCACCCATACTCGCCCCAATCTCAATTCTCAATTACGATGAATTCTTCATTCGTTGTCAGATTAAGGGGCGGGGCTTAACTGCAAGATCCATATTTGTGTACAAGAATTCATGATTTTAAACTGTAAGGTTCTTTTTCTGAAAAGACGACTAAGTATGTTAAGAAAAAAGCAAAATATAAGCCCCGCCCACGCGCCCTATCTCAGTTGTGATGATTTTTTTAGTATCGTGTTATTTTTCGATTTTTCAATTTTTCATATCGGTTTTTTCTTTTGTTTATAATTTTTTAGTTTTTCTGTTTTTCAATGTTCTGATTTTATAATTTTTCTTTCTTTTTAAATCTGAAATTTGAAAAATGGAAAAATAAAAATTTTAAATTCGGGAAAATTGAAAAACGGAAAAAGTGAAGGGTCGAAAGATTGAAAAATCGAAGGAAAATGGAAAAACGGAAAACCCAAAGTTTAAACATCGAAAAATTGAAAAACCGAAAAATTAAACAATTGAGGAACTGAAAAATCGAAAAATCAAGAAATCGAAAAGTCGAAAAACCCAAAAAAACCGTTAATTCAGACATTGAAAAATCGAAAATTAAAAATTTGGAAACTGCAAAT